AAAAAAAAAAAAAAAAAAAAAAAAAAAAAAAAGAAGGGTGGTGCATGACAGTCAGGCATTGGTCCAGGCTGCAACACAGAAACTTCAGCTCTCATCTTGGGCCTAGCGTGGAGGGTAGTAACCTGGTTCAGGGGCAGAGCTGAGGTTAGGAAGTGGCCCGTGTTTTGAGATTCATCTCAAGGCTTCCACAGCCAGAGTTCTGACAGTCTCGCCACTGTTCTTTTAATTTTTGCAGTAACATTTACTGTGTGCCTTCAGGGTTTTCGGCTCTGTGTGCTAATATTGGAGACACATCAGGGATAAAGACCCAGTCTTTGCCCCCAGGGTGCTCCTACCAGATGAGGGAGGCAGGCAAAAAAACAAGCAAATAAAAAATAATTACAAACTCCCAGAACTAATAATCGAGTTTAGCAAGGTCTGGGGATACAAGATCAACACATAAAAATCAATTGCATTTCTCTGAACTCACAATGAACATGTGAAAACTGAAATTAAAAACACAATGCCATTTGCTGTTGCATCTAAGGAAATGAAATACATAGTTCTAAGTCTGACAAAGCCCGTGTATAATTTGTATGCTGAAAATTAAAAATGCTGATGAAGAAGGTCAAAGGTGACCCAAATAAATGGAGAGACTTTCCGTGGTTGTGGATTACAAGATTCTACATTAGTGAACACCAACTTTCCCCAACCTCCTTCCCACCCCCATACTAGAGATTGAACTCTGAGGGCTTTGCATGTGATAAGCAAGTACTCTACCATTAAGCTATCTCCCCAAATATATGTCCAAAGATATATATGTATGTGTGTGTGTGTATGTACATATATACACACACATATATACATATTATAATATATAATATACATAATAATATAGATATTAGTCAGGGTCTCATGTTGCCATTGACCTCACAGAGGCCTGCCTTTGTCTCCCTGATATTGGGATTAAGGCATCTGTCACCATGTCCAGCTTACTTCCCGAATTTATCTGCAAGTTTAATACAATTTCTTCTCTCCTCTCTTTGCCCATCCCCTGGTTCTCTTTTCTACCATCAGCTTGGACAAACTACTTGATGCTGGCCTCTATACCGGGGAGGTGACTGAAATTGTAGGAGGCCCAGGTAGCGGAAAAACCCAGGTACCCTCGGGGCCAACAGCAGGGAGAGTTGGGGGAGATGGGTGCACTGTCCTGGATTCCTTGGGGAGTTCTTGCAGGTGTCCCTGTGGGTTGCAAGGTCAGAACAGACCAGATGGGTGATGAGAATGGGTTTGGCTTTCGCCAGTGTGTGTTGTTGGAATCTGGGCAGGATGTGGCGGGGAAACTGTCTGGTGGCATTCCCTCTTCTCCAAGGGCTTCGGTTTACTCAGCGCCCCATCTTGTCTCTGAAGGTATGTCTCTGTGTGGCTGCAAATGTGGCACACAGCCTGCAGCAGAATGTACTGTATGTTGATTCCAATGGAGGGATGACAGCGTCCCGCCTCCTCCAGCTACTACAGGCTAGAACCCAAGATGAGGAGAAACAGGTAGGGGGCAAGATGGCTGGGTTCCTTTAAAATCCTGATGCTAGAGGGCTTCATGACTCTTTAACATTGTAAGAATGTACACCATCTGTGAGAATCATTTCTTGAAACTGGAGAGTCCTCTCTCTGCATTCCTAGAGCTGCTCATGTTAACGGCATCACCCCAGCTTGGGTGCCACCCACACTGATTCTCCAGGAACTTCCAAGTCCTCGAATACCGTAAATCAGAGCTGGCAAAGACCTGCAGCTATGTTTCCAGCCCATTTCTTGTCGGGGCAGGCATCACTAATCAATCATATCTGTCCTTCCTGCTGAATTCTGAACGTCTTACAGCTCAGCACCCAGGTAGCCACCACTGTGAGATCCAGCCCATTAGGCAAAATCCATTTGCCATTCTGGATGCCAGCACTGTGTCTAAGTGCCTCTTTGCTTTTTCAGCTTGGTGATTCCTCTTTATCGCTTTCCTGGATCCCCTCTCCAAGTCCCTGCTTCTCTTTCCCACCCCTCCCTCAGGCAGGTGCTCTCCAGAGGATACAGGTGGTGCATGCATTTGACATCTTCCAGATGCTGAATATGCTGCAGGACCTTCGGGGCACCATGGCCCAGCAGGTGAGCCTGCTGATGTACCTGTTTCTGCCTTCCCCAGCTGGCCAGGTGTTGTCTGTATTGTGGCAGGTGTCCTACCACAGACTATTTGGAATGCGTGTGTCCAATGTAACATCTCCAGCTGTGTTTGCCAGTCCTCCCTCTCCCCCACCGGCCCATGCCCCAGGTGGAATTCCTTGGTGCTTAATTCATAATTCATGTGCTTCATTGTTTACAGGCTCACCAGCCCTGTACAACAGTGAGCTCCTTGAGTAGAGGATTATATTGTCTTCACCTCTGCATTACTCACTGAAATCAATTAGGAAAACTCGTGTGTGTGTGTGTGTGTGTGTGTGTGTGTGTGTGTGTGTGTGTGTGTAAGAGAGACAGAGAGAGAGAGTAAGAGGGGGAAGGGTCTCACTATGTAGCCTGGCTGGTTGGGAATTTACAGAGAAGCCCTGCCCCGTCTCCTGAGTGCTGAGATTGAAGGTATGCTTCACCACATCTGGCTGGGAGACTTGACTCTTGAGACAATTTTATTATCTTTTGTGAGACTGGAGGCTGGCACTGAGTCCTGTGTCCGATTCTCCTGTTCTTCAACTCAAAATTGGCTAGTGGCTGCTGTAGCCCCAAGCACACACGTGCTCCATATTCAAGCAAGTAAGGGATAATTTTTTTATTATTATCTCTTCCCTTTTATTAAGAAAAAACATAGCTGGGCGGTGATGGCACACACTTGTAATGCTAGTCTTTGGGAGGCAGAGGCAGGTGGATCTCTTGAGTTTGAGGACAGCACAGTATGCAGAGTGAGTTCCAGGACAGCCAGGGCTACACAGAAAGAGACCTTCTCTCAAAAAACCAACAACAACAACACACAGAAAGAAAGAAAGAAAGAAAGAAAGAAAGAAAGAAAGAAAGAAAGGAAGGAAGGAAGGAAGGAAGG